GCTTTATCCTCGGGATTAGCTCATTTTCAAGCTTCCAGATAACCTTTGGATCAGACACAAGGAGCACATAAAACCGAAATGGAGTCGAGCAAAATTCAAGAAGATAAGGCCAAAACGTGGTTGATTATCTAATTCTGCTGAACAGCAGCTAGGGTAGAAGAGTGTGTCACAGAGAGAAGGACAGAGAAGAGCGTGGGAGGACGCACTTCCTCAGAGACGGTAAAAATCATTCTGAACGGTACCAAAACAGGACCAAAAAATAAAAAAAAATGTGTGGAGAAAGGAGTGTTGTGAAATACCATGAAAGATGGGCTAATGTTGACACGATGATGCATGATGATTTAAGGAAACCTTAATGAGATGACGTGTGAATTAAGGAAGTCTTAATTCACAACTCATCATGGTTTTCCACACCTTGCACTGAACTTCTTGAGAACATGTGACTATTAGATAAAATTATGTCAGTCTAAAATAAATAAAACTACTTCTCAAGCATGCAAACCAGCTAAGAAAAAAAAAAGAACTGATTTAAAAGAAACAGAAACAATTCTTTCAAGACCTTTTGGATTTTCTGAACTCGACTAGGACCCTGTGCATCTTTATTTAAAAAAAAAAATTATGAAGATACAGGGGAATTTTTTATGCCTTTGTTTTTATGATATGTATTTTTACTTAGCCTGATATTGCAGCACCAATGGATAGAGGGATCAAATGTAAAAGTTAGGAGTTATTAAAGTTAATTTTAATAAACTGACGGTTTACCAAAACCATTATACTATCAAAAACAAAACTGATTCAATGGTGTGGAAAAAAAAAAAACCCACACACAAAATCCCCCCCTCTTTTTTAAAAAAATATATACATAGTACAATAGAATATCACATATATATTTATTAATACAACCACCACAAAACATAAAAAATATCACAGAATCTGCAACAACAACTGATATCTATAAGCTGTAAAAACATGATACCTCAACTAACTAGTATTTACACTAAGCAGTCTCAACCATACAAATGATTCACAACTCCTTTCAGAGAATTACTCTTCAGGAGAAAATGACACAAACACCCTGAACTCGGATCCTTTGCCTCAGTACAAACAAGTAGATGTTTGGATTTTTTTAGCCAGCATCGCTTCTGATAAATGAGCTGTAAAGTGCAACATGTTGGTGATTCGCTTTCAATGACCCCACAGTGGGTTTGTTTCACATGCTGCGAAACATTTTTACATTTCAAAATTATCCACAGTTTCGTGTACAAATTCTTAATTTAAAGTTACGAGAGTAGTAATTTGTGTGTTATGATTCTGTACCATCAGTAGTTATTGGCAAATAGAAGGAACAAGATCATGAAACGTTTGAATAAAGTGAAAAAAACCTCAAGAAAGCATAAACTCTGTGCAAATCATCACAATAAAAATACATATAAAAAAACATGCCTACACAACTCCCAATTACCCAATACATAATAAATAATTAGCATTTATTAATGTCAGCAAAGGCTAATATATATATATATATATATATATGTATATATTTTTTTTTTTTTTTTTTTTTTGTGTATGTTTTCTAGGCCTGAGCCAGTTAGAGGGATCACAGTACAGAGATTTTAATAAGCTTAAATGTAAAAACAGCTCAGATGTTTTCTTATCCCGTTTCTACAACTTAACATCTTTAATCGAGATGAAATACAAAATGCCAACGTGAGAGAAGATTTTTTTTTTTTCAGGTGTACGAATTGTAAAATCCCACCTCCTGTAAATGTTGCTACTCACTGAGAGGAGGCTACTACACTTTTTCTTTAACAAGAAAGACTTTCAGGTCATAAAAAGCTACACAGTCATGGAGAGGAAACTAAAGAAAAGTAAGTCAACAACATTTTAAAGCTACAGACCGCAAACTATAAGCGGCATATCGGTTAAGCAGCTAAATGCAGGCTGGCTCCCAGAGCAGGCAGCTGAACTAATTAAGCTGCTAAAATCAGCACGTTAGACTTGTGTTATTAAAAAGACCTGAATGATAAAGACAAAGGCGCAACATTATGAGCAGTGAGCACATAAAAAATAAACTAAAGTTTATTATGGATGTATTCTATATTGCTATTTAGGTTTATGAATCCAAATAATAAATGTATTAAAGCAGCAGCTGCATGCAGTAGCAGCAATGCTTAAGCCAGATTAAAGATATTACATTAAAAACAAATAAATTTGATCCCATGAATTAAATAGCAATTAAAAAAAGATGTTTTCAAGTCTAGCGTCATAAAAAGTTTGCTCTTTTTTGAGGTAAAACCGTAAAATAAATGTTTTTGTTAAATGTCTCGTACTGCGAAACCGACAGTCTGGTGCCTTTTCAACTTTTATCTAATAAACCTGCGTAAGCCTAGAATGACAAAACAGCACCATGTAGACTGTTACATGAAAAACATGAATGTAATGTCCATTTCACTTTTTTTCTGCATATATAGACAATTAAAAAAAAAAAAAAACATGTTTGAGATCCTCTTTTAAGGCAGTCTTAGAAGTTCAGTGTGGCTCTCTTTGCAAAACAAAAATGCCAACCTATCCCAGGGTTCAACATGATCAGTAGGAATAATTGTTAGCTTTTCGCTTTAAAATTAAAACTAACTACATCATGTTTTACATTTTTTGATTTTGGACATAACGACAAAAAGACAAGGTCTTGCATTTGCAGTTCAACATGAGCGCAATAAATTTCTGTAATTGTGCTTACGTGATGCTTTTGTCAAACACCTTGGTGCGAAACACTTCCTCCTGGTCCAGGCTTATGGTGCAAAATGTACAGAGATCCTTTAGTCGATTTGGACCTGACACTGGACCTAGGTTCTTGGCTTCACCTGCAAAACAAACGGGAGAGAACCTTTAATCATCCAAACAATGGGAAACACAAACAACATGTCTGAGACCATCTGAGAACTTTCAACAAGATTTTATTTTTATTATTGTAATTATCCTGAAACAAGACAAAATAAAGATTTGATTCTAGCCCTTTTTTTTTTTTTTTTTTTAATAAAAAGGAAAAAAGAACATGTTCTGACACTGGAAAAAAAAAAAAGAGAAAGAGGTGGTTGATTTTTATCTGAATCCCTCTCTTCACAACCATACCACTTTAAAAAAACGCTACTTTGATGTTCGACATCCTCATGTTAATTCGGGGCCAGGAGCCCCTGGCAAATGTTAGGGCAAACTGCAGAGCGGATGTAGCTGAAGTAGACTCGACGCTCATATGTGGTTAAAAACACGAAACATTGACTTCCTCAGCATAACCAATGGTGACAGAACAGCGCTGATTCACAAATGACAAACACCTTTGTAACACGCACCACTTCCATAACTTTGCAGACAGATTAAACGCCTACGGGCTGGAAGCAACGCGCAAATACACAGAACCAGTGCCGGACAGGCTGAATTTGTGCCGTCAGAATGCTCCCGTTCTGAGACATGACAGATTTAGACAGCAGGATTAAAAGGTAGTGAGACTCTAAATTAGTCCTCTGGCTTTGAAATGCATCCTAAGCCCGGGTATAGGCCGTGTTAAGAAAAGCCACAGATGAGATCAGCTTTTAGCAGACTAATAATAACAGAACAAGGCTAACCTTAGGAATAGCGAGTAAAAACAGTCAATGAGCTTATAACAGGATGACCCAGAGGGTGAAAAGTCACTATGCACACAGCTACGCAAGAAGCAGTGTGGCGCAAAAACTCTGCAGTCATCTCCTTTCTGTGACAACATTTTCACAAACTGAAGTCTCTGATCTGAGGGGCAGAAAGGAAGCCTGGACACTACGGCACAGCCAGGTCTCTCAATCTACTCAAGTGTGAAAACGAATAAGCACACATCTTCATAGAGTACCATCTCCATTGATGCATACACCCTTAAAGGAAAAAGGCCCAAATGTGAACGAGGAAGAATGGAGTTTCGCAAGACAGCAGTGAGTTACATGCCATGATAGTTCCTCAATTTTTGTTCTGCTTAGTTTTTTCTCATTAATTCATAGTAGTGAAACTGACATTTGCCTTTCTATAGTAGGCCTATGCATTAGACGCTTGCACCTTTTTACCTTTCAGCACAAGAACATTCTAGCAACTTTTCAAACGTCTGAGGGGTCTACGCTGACCACTCAAGGACACATTTACTTATAAAGCAAAATGTCTTCAAAACGTAGTTTAATCTGATTTCTTCTATCTACTGACGTCGCTGAGCTTTTGACTTAACTATAAGAAATAATTGTAAACAATGATATAAGGCTAATAGCAATTTGTATATAATCTGATTGATGAGGGCTATCAAATCAGCAGGAAAAAAAAAAGAATCAATCGCATCATAAAAAAAAACAGTACAATTTGAATCTCAAAATGTGTCTAGGCTCCAAAGCTTTAGCAGTAAAGAAAAATAGACTATTTAGATGCAAAAATATAATATTCATACACACGATGCCATGAGAGGGAAACGGACCCGCCTAAGTTTACTCAGCTTAGCGAGTGAGTTTTTGATATTAAACATGGTTTTTTGTTGTATTTTAATGACATATTCTTACCAAATTTAATGTAAACATAAGTATTTTGTTTATGTTTAAATTATGATAAATAATGGTGAAGTCCATTTTAAACCCTTCAAGTTTAATATCCCCAGAGAACGGAGTACATGACCAGAGATTCTGCAGATCCATTCAAGATATTTAGCAGAAACTGCAGCAGTTGCATATAAATCTCAATCCATCATCTGACACTGTGCGCTTTAATGATTTGCAGTTAATATATATGTATTGCAGCATTGATTTCTATCCCTAAACCATACGTGTGATCATGTCAAAATAATAAAGTGCAGCATTAAAGACAGAGGGTTGTACTGTATGATGACAAGATGACACACATTGGTAAAAAAAAAAAGGAAAAAATGAATAAAGAAGGAAAGGTGTGGGAATAAAGCTGAAACTCATACAGTAGTTGGGTCACAAATTGATGGGGATCACAATACTTTGTTGTACACCTGCACAAGGTAACGTTAAAGCTGAATGGGTTAGCTTACAGACGATGCAGTGAAGTGGTACATATTAGCTAGCAGCACTTTGTCACCAACGTTAACTGGGCTCACAAGGCAGCTCTTCTTTTCAAAATGGGCTCATTTCTTCACCAAAACGTTCTGTTCTCAGTTATTTAAATGACCCAATAGTGGTTCCTGTGTCCAGTGAATTTGATCATTTACAGCAAGCTAGTAGCTTCAGCTAGCATGCTAGGTTAACTTGACGTTAAGCACCAGCAGGCAGCAGGCAGAGTGCCCGTCTCTGCCTTCACACTGGCGGCTGCTGGGAGCACGCCGCGCCCCTCCCCGGTGCCTGCTTCGGCTGCTCAGCTCCTCCACCGACTCCCCCCGACCCTCAGCCATAGCGAGACGCATCGGCCACCCGGTCGAGAGTCATACTTACATATTTTACCCCGCAGACTCTGTAAAATCCGAATCCTAGCGTCGTCCTCTTCCGCCATGGTCAGCGCTGAGTGTTGTTGCCGCTGCTCCGGTGCATTCAGTGCTGTTCTATCATATCCGTTTATGAATGCAAGCTGAGTGGAGGAAAGCCAGTCCCACCGCGGCGTCACGTCAACCGCCTTAGAAAAAAGAAAAGAAAAGAAAAGAAGAAAAAAAAACACTGGGGTCTAAAAAAACATTTGGCAAAATATAACACTTCCCCGGAAGTCGGTGTGACTTTCTACTGCAATGTGCAGCTGAGAGTCCTTTTGAGAGGGAGTGAAGGTATCTGAGCGCTCTGGCTCGTTGTGCAATAACGCTTTCGGAGAACGCAGACTTGGACTTGTGGAGCTAACTAACTAATCGCGGACACCATTCCTCTGCTCAAGTCAACCTCTTGAGAGCGTGCCGTGTCACTAGTGTCACTAGTTATGAATGAGTTGACAACCGCCCATAGACAGATTACTGAAAGGATGAGGGAGGGAGGCGGAAAGATACCACAAGGTGACTAAAATGGATTAAATTACACAAGAAAGAGGCGTAACATGTTTTCAAAACATTAGAAATGAGATTTGAGAGACTTTTTGTAAAAAAAAAAACAAAAAAAAAAACATGAAACCCACCTGCTAACTTTAAACACATCTTCACTTTTTGTTATTGTTCTAGTTCCTGTGTGCAAGTGTAAGTTTTAAAAATATGTATTTTTAGTATTAAAAAAACAAAACAAGTGACTTTTTTGTCTTCAAACTGCAACACATAAAATGCTTTGCTAGCGTACGATTGCAACACGAGTGGTACTTTCAGTGGTTACTTGACATAAGATATGTAAAAACAAGACAACAAAAAGCTTAACTGGTATTACAAATTTTTCCAAATTAGTATAACCAACGTAAGTTACATAATTTTCCATTTCTTCCTATCTGATTTTCATTGCGCAGGTGATTTTTAATATTTTATTAGGTACACTTGTTTCTCTGCTTGTTAACACGAATGGCAGCAAATCAATATCCTTTGCAGGTCTATAGGCTGGTGTGAACGACTTAAGTTCAAACTGAGAAGAGAGATGAAAAGAGTGATCATGAGTGTTGGATCTAAGATGGTTCCAGATGGGCTGAACTGGTAAGAATAGCTTGGAAACTGCTCAACTTCTGGAATTTTCATTTCTAAACATGTCTCATATTTACAGAGAGTGATCAGAAAAATAGAAAATACCCATTAAGCAAGCCTTTGGTTTAAGAGTTTAAAGGTTACTTAACACTGTATGTGTTCATGATTACATATTCTCTTTAAATTCCCACTAATACTTTATCGATCTGTTTTTATGTTCTTATTTTTCTGTATTGTTACATTTATGATAAACTGATGAAGGATTGTATTGCTGGTTTTTATTTATTTATTTTTTTCACACTGTTAGGATGAAGGATTTATATATTATTATTTTCATGATCATTTTCTTTTTAATTTTGTTGAGCTGCATTTTAATTGTGCCAAATAAATTTAACCTGAGGATTGCTGCTGATCATTTCCATCCAACCACCAACAAGATGTACTTAATACAATGGATGATATGTAGATTCATGACATAATGCTTTAAGGATTATTTATTTGAAAATACATTCTGTTTTCTTATGATTATCCAAAGGTTTTGCATAGACCAATGGTTATCAAACCAATCACAGAGTCCAAGCTAAAAATGTGCAAGAAAATATACTGTAAAAGCAATGTAGTTACTTATCTGCATTTTGTACCTCCAAACACTGTAGCAAATGCAAACTAAAGAAAGTTGAATAAATAGTCAGATGAGCAAGTAAATATTTTTATTTTATTACAACGTATGCTTGGAATCCTGACTCTTTAAGTCGACTTAAGACTTAAAAATGTAGCGAGCAAAGCATACTTGCACTGTATTCTTTAAAGGGGTGATATTATGTATTTTCCAGGCACATAATGGTATTTTATAGCACAATCAAGTAGCTATGTTGCCTTCAAATGTTAAAAAAAGGCACTATATATGTGAGATGGAAGCTCCAAGAGGTGCTTTGTGGATATAGGCGGCTCTTTGTTAGTGCAGTTACATGGGAATCCCTGAATGGCTTCCATGGGATATTCATTCAAAGATGTTAATTTTTTTTCTATTTTTTTGTGTAAGATTTATCTTGTGTAAGAACAAATGCATTTATTTTAATACTTGAAGCCTCAGACAGGGATCACATCCACGAGGGAGTTGAAATACAAATTTTGACTCAAAAAGCTCAGAGGGATAAAATGAAACAAAACAGCTACTGACTTTATCAAACCCATACAGATCATAAACAAACTGTAGAGCTGTACTAAGTGTGCCCTCTTCAGTTGAAATATTGCAAGTAAACGTCTGGATTTTACAGGCTTCAGATGAATGCTTTCTATTCATCTTAAAGTGGGATGCTAGGTCTTGCCAGTATAAATAAAAAATATATGTATTTCTCATACATGCTAATTAAGAAAGAATCAATATTAATAGTAGTAGTAAATAGTTTTAGTATAACTATTGGTTATTGATCATGTGATATGAAGGGCTGTACTTATAAAGCATATGATCTGCTTAAATGCAGAACAAACCACATTTTGAATGAAGGCAGGAACTGAAAAACATCTGGAAATTGTGTTTGGAGGCCTGACACAGATGCACTTTGAGTGGAAAAAGAGAATTAACTTTTCAGATGGGCTGCAGGTTCCTAAAGGAGCAGATAACCATCATGTGGCTTTATAGTCTTTTATAATCTCTCAAGTATGAAACGCAGCTTGTAAAATGATCTGATAAATGTCACTAATGTAAGTAAAAGTCTAGTCTGAGTAATGTAGCTGCTTAGCTTAAAAAGTGAATTTGACATGTCACGGCATGTTTTTTTTTTTAAATCAATGTTTGCAAAGCAAGGACAGAAAAGAACTGTTCATAGTAACAATATTTATTTAAATAGTTGTACATGTTTTATACATACTAAACACAGAAAAAAGGAGTAATCTTAATCTCAGTGGTCCTGTGTATTTAGTAGAAATTCAAATTACATGAACAAAGCTTGGAATAAAAATGGCAATTATCAAAGTATTAAACTACAAGTCAGCATAGTCTAACCATAAAGTGCAACTCACCAGTTCCAGTTATTTAAGCAAGAGGTCCAGAAAGGTGAAAACAGAAAATCCCTATTGTTTTTGCTCGGACACGCTTTAAAAAAGGTGAAGCTGAAAACACAATAGGTAACTTTTCTGCCACCCCACACAATGCAGAAGCTGAACTGTTATTGCACTGCATTGAAATAAAAACATTACAATGAGTCACTGACTCCGACTTACATGCATAGACACAGGACAAAAATATCCTTCATAGCGGTGGAAAAATAATCACTGAGTTATTGGACTTAAGGTGGAAGAAATGTCAGTCTGCTAATGCAAGATTATCATAGTTTGCCTGGTCCTGTCAAAAACTATTCTGATGCAAAACATTGCAGAATTCATGAGTCAACAATGTCTCAATTGACATTTGCGCTAGTTAAGCTGCATTCCTTGAAGGCCTTTAAAATAATGGTTCCTCTTTGCACACATATTTTTCCGGCTTGTGTAAAGAAATGTATGCACCGTTAGATTCAGAATCGGTCTTCTGAACTGGTTTGCTTGATTTCTCATTATTAGTGAGATTGTTCATTCTTGGTCCTGTCGATGATTTCTTGTTGGGATCACTGTCCCTGTCATATGCTTGCTTTTTTGAAGTATGATGCATAGAATGATGAACTTTGATCCTCTTTTTCACAACTTTTTGTTTCATTTTTGAGAACGTCAACGTAGGCAGACAGTCCGTATATGGTGACGGTGGATTTTTCATACTTAAATCTGACGCATCTTGATAGGGAGTCGACGACATTAAGTCAAACGTGTCCTTGATTTTTGGCTTATTTTCATTGGTTGTAAAATGCTCTTCATCTGTGTTTTCACATTTTATGTCAACATCCTCTTGATTGCCACTGTCCTCTCTTTTGGTGGTGTCTTGTTTGCTGCCTTCCCTTGGTTGTGCTGAGTATGTAGAACATGAAGTAAATGTGTCATATTTGGGACTCTCGTCATTTGTCTCCTGGTGTTTTTTCTCATGGCTTCTCTTTGTGGCAAGATACACAAAACGCTGGGGACAGAATGAACAGCGATATTTCTTCTCTTGGTTGGGGCTTCGGGGTGTGTTGTCAAAGCAAGAGCCATTTTCCATGCAGCTGTTGCAGATGTAATCCCCACAGGAGGGTGCCTCACCGGGGGGACCTTGTTTTCCGCAGGTCCGACAGAAGTAAGGATGGGAACCGATCACATGAGCTTTCAGTCCGGTCTCTGTGATAAAAGAGCTGTCACAGATGTCACAGTTGTAGGTGGGCCTCGGACTGTAGTTTCTGCTAAGACCATGTTTCAGCCCGATGCTAGCTCCTGAGCTGCTCTCCTCTGCTGGAAAATGTGTTCTGTCAAAGTGGGGTTCGGTGAAACCTGTTCTGTCTATAGAAACATCGGGACAGGGGTGAAACAAAGCATTTCTGTGTTTGTACCTGAACCTCTTTCTCTTCTTTTTAGCCTTGTACGAATAGTAGGGACGCCAAAGCTGATCAGCTGTATCACAATCATTGGTATCATCGTATGTCTCAGTGGAAGCAATGGCTTCCGGTCTGAGTCGAAGCCTCGGACTCTCTGAATTTTCCCTCAGTGGACTGCACTGACTTGGGGTCTGATCCTCACTTAGTTCTCTAGTTTTCCTCTTCTTCCTGGGGAAAAGCTTAGATCCTTTAATTTTGCGGCGGATGATGGCTTCGTTGCCTATTTTCACTGTTATCTGACATAGTGGCTTGGTGTCACTGTCCAGAGATGGGCCGTGGCAAGCAGGTTTGGCGATGTAAGTCTCTGTTTTTGTCCCCATTACTTTGTCTCGCATCAACTCCTCTGTGCTGGATTTAAGTATCTCCTTGGTCATCTCTTCAACCCTTTTTGCTGAAGCTGATAACTCTCCTAACTTTTTAACAGTGCTTAAGGAGTTGAAGAATGGCACACTGTGAGTAATGTGCTCTGAGTTCACCAGCACAGGCGGTTTATCTGCTTGAGGCTCAGGATTGGGCAGAGTTAGCTTGGACGAGAAGATGCTGTCACAGTTATTAAAAGGTGAACCTCTGTCTCCAGCCTCTTTCTCTGTGCTTGTCTGCTCCCCCTGTTCACTGCTGAGATTTTGATCAATAACTTGATTACAAGGTTTGTCAAAGCAGATGTGAGGCATGACAGGGGAGACCATCTTTGTTGTGGCCATAAAGGTTAGCGGGAATGAAGTTGTGTCAGGGTGGTTGAGGAGACTGCTTTCTTCAAATGGAGGAATAAGAGAACTGTTGTCTAAAGTGGATGAGTCACCTTTTTCACCACTTTCTGAGTATGTCTGGCTGTATGTCTTGTACTGCCTCTTTCTAAACTTCATGGGCAGAAGTCTGTAGAGTTTGATTGGATAAACGCTGGCTTTCAGCCCACCATTGGCAGATTTCTTTCTGACAGCGAGGTTGGGATCAATGCCGTGGAAGGACTTTTGATGGTTCTTCAAGATATAATACGTCATGAATGTCTCCAGACAGAAAATACACTGATAGCGGCGTTCACCTGTGTGCCAGATTTCGTGCTTGGTGCGGTACTCTGCCAAGGCAAACACTTTATTGCAATAATGACAGGGATAAGCCCTCTGCCATGAGTGAACGTTCTCATGCCGCCTCAGGCTGGACAAGGTGACATAGACTCGTTTGCACACACTGCAGTTGTATCGCCTCTGCCTAACTGTCTTCTCTTCACGTAGGCGCTCCGTTAGGTTAACTTCAGTGAGCTCAGGCATGTTCGGGCTGGGAAGGTCTGCAGAGGGAGGCTGTGTTGCAGAGCTCTCCACGCTTAATCTGTCATCTGAGTTGTGCTCCACCTCTTTGGCTGATATGTCCCTGGCATCAAGCTTAGGTGGGCCTCTTCCAGTCTTTGGACATAATCTCTCATGGTTGTGCAGTCGTTTGAGGTGTATGAATTTTCTGTGACAAAATTTACAAGTCAAACGAGTGTCAAAATGCTTTTTATGTACCTCAGAGTGAATGGTGAGAAGAGCTTTATTTGAGAATATCTCTGGACAGTGCTCACAGCTGTAGACTGAAATGCTGTCCTCTGGGTGAGGGGAAAGAGGTGGTGGACCTAGCTCTGTGTCAGCACTGTCAGTGGCTCCACAGAGCTCCGTCTCTGTTATCTTCTCTGTCTCTGCTTCTAATAAAAGTGCAGGTGGTGTCATAGCGGAGACAGGAGCAGCAGTATCACCATCACCATCAGATAACACTGATGTAACTGTGTTTGCTTCATCTGTTTGTTGATCTGCTGGTGCTGGAAACATACTTTTGCTCAAAATGCCTCTCAGCCTGTGGCGCTTTTTCAGTGGGCCCGTATTCCTATACATGAGTGGTTTTGAGTGCAATATTGCTGGTTTACAGACGTTCCTGTAGTCCCACTGACTGGTGTCTTTGCCTTCAGTGGAATTGTTTACTGCATATGAGTGTTCAGACAGGGTGTGGGTTGTCTCATTGTTCCCATTGATGCTGGATATTGTAGGGAAACTTGAGGGCAGCTGTCCCACGTCTGGCGATTGCCTCTGCTTGTCTGTTTGAACCAAAGGAGTGAAGGGATTGTTCCCAGGACACATTTCAGTGATAGAGAAGGCATTGGTAATGCGAGGTCCTCTTGCACTGTCTGTCTCCTCGCGCCTGGAAGCTTCCTTCTTTGCTGTTGAAGATTTTGTGGTTGCACACAAGTCTCTGGGACTAACACATTCATCCCGCTGCTCTTCGTCCGCAAGCTTTTCCAAAAAAGGAATTCCAAGTCTTCTCCCAGCTGCTGCGAGTCCCCCTCTGTTCTCTTCACCAAGCGACGTCAACTTTGAGGAGTATATGAAGTTGAGGATACAGGCAAACACTTCAGACTTTAGGTCCATAAGCTCTAGGACTTGGCTGGAGCTGCATGTATCTGAGGTCGTCAGAGTGCTTCTGAAGTATCCGCTGCATGCAGCCAAGATGTTTTTGTGGGCCCGAAACTTCACATCCTCTACTACGATGGTAACGTCACAGAAGAGGCCTTGTGACCGCTGCTCATTGAGCTTGCTCAGCACAGTAGAAGGGTGTGTGCTGTCCATCAGGTTCGGATGCATAGGCTCATGGCAGTCATCTAAACAATAAAAAATAACAAATTATTACACCACATGTAGTAAAGTAGATACGTGTAAAATTCTGAAATGTGACTATTTTCTTTTTAAAGCATTTCAGCACTTTTTCTGTTTTAACACTAGATGGCAGCAGCATTCTGACACGGAGCCCCAGTTTCTATTAACAGTTGCTGAATTTAAACCTGATGACCTCCAAACCACTTTAAGCATAAAGAATGTAGCCTGCCTCCAAGTTTGCCTGACTTGAATTCAGTCTTCAGGATTTCAAAGAAAGCATGTTATTATAGAACACACTTAAGAGTAAAATGATTCATCTTACTTATACCTGTTTGAATAAAACCGTAGCTAAGGTGTAGGTAGTGATACATGTTCTCTGAACCATTTGTCAGTCACAACTAAGATCGATGATAACTGAACGAAGAATCTATATTATGTTTCTGGATATGTGAGTTTTCGTTTAATTTCAGCCACCTTAATTGACCAACTAAACCACTTTAGAGTTCTCCTCCAGATCTGTAGAATTTATATATATATATATATATATATATATATATATATATATAAAGTTATTTATTCAATAATGCTTAAAGATTATTAAATAAATGTGGTGAAATAAGAACTACTGCACCCAAATTGAGACAGTAAAATGTAGAGCTGGACCACACATCTAATTGTAATTATCAATAATTGCAATTATTACAATGATGCAATATTTTTCATAATTTTATATTCCCACATAGTGCCACGCATGCATATTCTGCATGTCAATAATATATTTGGCCTCTTGGATAGACTTACACTGCCCTTCATGTCCACCACTAGCAATTATTTTTAACGGGCACAATGCTAAACCTCACAATGAGTGGGTCCATGTGATGAAGAAAAAGTACAGAGAGTCAGAAAATGTGGATTAATCAAAATTAATACAATCAAGACCACCGCAGTTAAATGTTTCTCAGACATGACGCAGGTCTAGTGAAATGTTTGACTTTGCTTGTTTCTTTTATGCTTGTTCTCTGAATCGACTTGGAAATCTGACAGTGATTTCATGCTTCTTGACTGCCATTCAAAAATTCTTGTCTTGTGAAAGTATTACAATATTTTTATTTATAACTGATGTTCTTGTATTCGCAGTAAAAAGCATATTTCAATAGGGATTGTTTTTTTAAACTGATTTTTTTTTGTGCGTGTTTGAAGTAGATATTTATGTGGTGATGACTCATATTTTCCTGTCTTCACAGTTGATGGCTTCCTTTCACATGCCTCGAAAAGAATCGCTGCTAGTATTTCATTCTGCTAAACAATCATTTAATATTTGATGATTGAAATCATAGCTAACAGTATGATAAAACGAAGCACATTTTGCATGTTTTAGATTCGGAGACTTTCTTTGCTTCATCCTGCTGGTGTGCATTAGGACAGAATTAAAACTGAAAAGGAAACGCTGTGGTGACAAACTAAATGCTGTGATGACAAACTAAATGAGATCAGTTAGATTTACAAATTACATTGATCTGAGCTAACCACACATTCATTTATTTGAATGCATGAGTTTTATCTTAACACTGTGAGCCTCTCATGGGAAAATGCAATCTGAGTCATTTTAGTTTTGCATATCATGCTGGCTGTACATGGTAAGAGACACTTCGTTACTTGTAAATGATGAGTCATGCATCCACCTTCGTTGCTGCCATTTACAGTTTCACTTTGCGCTTTTATTTGGTCAGAAGTATAATTACAACTGCTGTATTAAATGTGACATCTCTAGGAGCACTTGCGGCCTAATGTGCCAAACAACAACAACGCATTTCTGTTAAAACTGTTGAAACTTAACCATGAATCATCAAAGTATTCTCTCTCTCGATCAACATATTTTGTCTCAAGTTATGCTTATAATCTCTAGTTTTATAAAACGTAAATAACATTCGCGCTGGTGTCTTTGACAGTGTTGTGTTTTGCTAATTGTTTTTAAATGCAGAACAGTGTTTCCTCTAAGGAGGTAATTATCAGAGAGGTTTCTTTAGTTCTAATGTTGTGATGTGTACCAAATACAATATGGCCGCCAGTGTCTGTAAAGCCTTTCAGACGACTGAAAACACAGCTAACCTCCTGCCTTCTATCTCAGACGGGCCTCCGTTGTCATGGCAACATGCTATGGCGCAGCACTTATTGGAATTCAGCCGGACGGCAATCGACTGTATCTGCCGTCAGAGGTTTCAGTTTACCTCTTGTTAGAAAAAAAACAAAAAAAACGCTGTGCCCTCTTTGGGAACCCTGCTGCAAGCAGAAATGCACAAAGCAATGGAGGTTTGCCTTTGTCTCCAGCTGACTATACTTTGTCTTTTGCTTGCCGAGGTCTGAGAGTCTTTGTGTCTGCAGCACAAAATGGACTTTCAGATATTTCAGCGTTATCTGATGGAGAAGTAGGTTCCGAACATACAGAATTGTTCATCTTTTTTGCGCTATTTGTGGATCAGCATCGCCCTCTCCCTCCAGGAACCTTCTTCAATCCACCACATTCATTTTTTACAGTTTGCATCAGTTGTGGTTTGTTGCAGCCACATGCTGAGCGGAATTTCTTAACTTGTTGTCACTGCTTTTTTTGAATTTGCCACACCCCGACTTAGTTTACCTTCAAAGACATAATTTGCTTTTATATTTTTTTTCTGAAAAATAGAAATCCCCTGAGGTCAAACCACAAACTGAGAAATGACGGAGCAAGATACAGAAAGTATTATAAAATGACTAACAAACTGTCAAGGCAAAAAAAAAAAAAAACCTTTTCAGCTCTGCAAGGCACACTTCCGCACACATTCACACACAAGCAGGTTGGATTTTGAGGGTAAGCATGCAAAACGTACCTTAGTGAATCAGAGAAGATGATGCACAGCGAACAGGAAACAATACTGTGCAGTATCCCTTTCTCTACGGCCTGGCATACACACAGTGATACACGAAAAACAGTTTCATAAGAGATAGGCGAAAGTACTTTTTCCCCTATGATGGTCGCTGAAACAGTGGTGGTGTCTGAAGCCGAGCTTTTTCTGACGTCTTTCTTCCTCTCCCTCCCTCTCATCAGTGTGCAGATGACTTCAGCTCCAGCATCTATCGCTTCTATCCATGCAGCCTGGGTCCTGGGCTAGAGCTGCCCTACCCTCCTATGTCCTACAGCGAATGGAATAACTGACATTCTGTTTTTTTTTTGTTTTTTTTTTTGCAGAATGTAGCTAAATCGGAGCACAGGTCTGTCCCATGTACTAGCTGGGCAACTGACGCTTTCGTTCTGGAGCCACTAAGCAGGAAGCGGCAACTTTTATTAAGCATCGCAGAGAGCTGTAGGGAGAGCGGAGAAATGCAGGGCTCTACATCACACATCGGCTCTGTTCTTCATCCCACAGCCAGAAAACACGCTTAGCTGCATTACTGTGAGCGCTCATAGCGAGTGGTCCTGAGCCGAATAACGGATGCCGTATTAAATCTCCCCAGCGCCGCAAACTAGATCCAAGTGGAGCCTGATGCGCGCGCTTTTACAGGACAATGCCTTGCATGAAATATAAATCATCATGAGCCCTCTAATATGCACCTTAAATGCATAACAGCACACCATCTGCTGGTGCACACAGTCTCTGCCTGTGCAGCAGCATATCACACCACTGCCTTTCGCCCATGCCTTGACAGTCACTGTGGTTAGAACAGATAAAGCTGAAGCAAAGAGGAGATGACACACACTGCCGCCCTATTGTGCAAAGCAGCAATCACAGTCCAGATGTTCAGCGATGCTTTTTCTGGCTGAGATAAAAACAAACCGTGCTCTCTGAAGCGACTTGGGGTATACCTATATAGAGGCTGCTGATTGATGCGAAAGCAGCAGATGCGTCAGCACTGCAGACGAGGGGGGAGGGGAGGAAGCCAAACACACGACGCAGCTCGGTAGCCTCTCCACTAGCCTCTAAAGACAGAAGCAACTGCTCAGGCCCTCCCATCCTGACAAGCACTTACATTTAACCAGACAAGCGATGTTACATGGCTGCTGTTGTGAAAGAGCAGGTGCAGTATCTGTAAGAATACACTTACTTGTTGCATCTGAATGCAAAGAAGACGCATCTGACTTTATGTGTGTGTGTTTTTTTAAAAATATGATAAACTACTGATCAGTTGTTTTTCCATTGTTATTATTTGTATTGTAGCAATTATGAATGCAAAGCTATAAACTATTTTTGATGCTGGTAGAAAAATATGCTAAACTCTTTCTTCCAAAGTCAGTCTCTTCTAGGTCTGGAGACCTAGTTAAAGTAGTATGGATCCTTTAAATACATTTGTTAACTACAACAAAAACTTAGTGTATATTATTGATTTTTTTGGAGATAAATAGAGATAAGTAAGGGAGTTGTTTTGAAGTGAAAGGAAACTGATTTGTGGTTTTTAAAATGTCTGAAATGTGAAATGTGTAGCTTGTGTTTGTACTCAGATCAGTCAGTATTTTGTAGAGCTTCCTGTCGCTGCTATTACAGCGTCTGGTCTTTGGGGATATGTCTCCGTAATTTGTGAATCTGGAAACTGAAATTTTTGTCTATTTTTTTTCTTATTATAATTTCTAAAAGCTGCCCCTCAACTTGAATAAAGAGCATCTGAGTGAACACAGTCTTTTTAATTCTTGTCATAGATTCTAAATTGTATTTGAGTCTGACATTTGACAGGGACATACAAACTTATGAATGTGCTTCCTGAACCATTCCGCTGTTGCTCTAACTCTGCTTCAGGGTATTTGTCCTATTATAAAAAGTGAGTATCAAGATTGGCTATTGTTCAGTGGCCTGGCAGCTGCACGATAGAAACTGTTTTTGAACCTGGTGGTCCTGCACTAAATGCTCCTCAGCTGAGGTGAGTGGCTGGAACAGTCTGTTTGCAGGATGGGTGGAATCCTTCATGATGCGGAGCGCCCTCCCCCTTCATCATGATGTATAGAGGTCCGAGGTAGAGGGACGGCTGCTCCCCACAGTCCTCTGTGCAGCTTTAACCACTCTCTGCAGAGCCATTTCTTTGTTTCAATAAGTAATTTCTCATCGAAGCAAATTCGGGGAACCCCAAAGTTCAATCCTGGGACTTATTCAATATCTATATGCTCCCATGAGCTCAGGTTATAACAGGAAATAAGATTAGTTACCGTAACTACACGGATGATACACAGCTCTACATTATGATGTCACCTGAACCCATCCAAGCACTGAACAGATGCTTAGAACAGATGAAAGTGTGGTTGTGCCAAAACTTTCTCTCGCTGGACAGAAACAAAACTGAAGTTATTATCTTTGGACCTACAGAGGACCTGCTGGTTGAGTTATCACTAAAACCAGCAAGATAGAGTACATCACCTCAGTACTAAAGTCCCTACACTGACTCCCTGTAGCTCAGAGTAGACGTTAAAATACTGTTGTTAGTTTATAAATCACTGAAAGACTTTAGCACCACAATAAATTAAAGATCTGCTGTTGTTTTATCAACTTTCCAGACCTCTTAGGTCTTCTGGCTCTGGTCTGGTCTCCTCTGCATCCCCAGAACCAGAACCAAACATGGAGAAGCAGCATTCAGCTTCCTTGCACCACAAATGTGGAATAAACTTCCAGAAAACTGCAAAACAGCTGAAACACTGAGTGCTTTTAAATCTAGACTAAAAACCCACCTGTTTAGAGTTGCATATGAAACATTATAAATGGGACTGGTGAGGTGACCTGTCCAGGTGCACTTGGTCTCTTGCCCATTGACAGCTGAAGATAGGCACCTGCGCCCCTCGCAATCCCAATGAGATAAACATGTATATGTATGACGATATCTGGGTAATAATCTAAATGTACTTCTAGATATTAATGTTTGTACCCGACAGCAAAAATTAGAACAGGAAAACTAAAATATCTGAACAAAATCTAAATAAACTAAAATATAAAATGGTGTTAATGACTGTAAGGCTGAGGGATCTAAAGAAATCTTCTGGGGAAAACAATTTAACATTTACTGAATTGTTCTATATTCAAAAACACAAAGTGCTCTTTGACATTTGTGTTTTCTGTTTTGTCTGTTAAGCCAAATGTCATTTTCCATAAAAAGTTGCTTTGTGAGAACAAAGAGATAAGATAACTCTGTTCACTACAAGTCAAACTAACCCGTGTGCTGCTCCCACTGAGGGCTGCCAAGAGGTAAATCATTGATAAAAGCAGCACATGTATAAAAATACCTAGGAATAACACATTTCTAACATAGATGTGATTTACTTCCCCTTCACAGTCATGTTCTACTTTGTGTTGGTCTACCATTTGAAATGTTTTCTGATATCTGCCATTTTGTGATATCAGACTTATGTAGGGCTTCATCAGGATACTAAAAGACACTTTAAAATGAAATAAGTGATTCCTATTCTTGCACTCTCGTCTGACAGAGGCAAGGCTGCTATATTGTGACATTGGCCCTTCTGTCTACCACCAGCTGGCAAGACGGGTGACGGGTCTTGCCCAAGAACACAGTGACATATACGGGTAGGACAGGGACTTGAACCAGTGACCCACTGATTACACGACGAATTCTGACCCATGTCACCACCACTGCCACCACGTTCCTCCACAAGTTAAGTAAATTACGTCAAACTGCAAAATATTTCACCTATGGAATATTCCAGGCATTGTGCTATATATTTTTTTAGCAAACATTTCTGTTTGCTGTTGACGGCTTTAGGAAGAATCACTCTGTTCACGTTCAATATCTACATCTGAACTGGAAACAAAATGGCAGCTAGGTCGGAAAAAAATCAGTTCAGACTTTAAATCCTTTTATGCTCTATATGTTGGCTTAAGTTTTGTATTATATAAGAGGAATCTCACCATCTAGCCCTAACATCACAGCCAGGAAGAGTTTAAAACAACAGGAAAAATATACAGGCCTTTATGCTTCTGTGGCTCTGTGATCCCAGCTGTGGCCTGTGGGAACACTCATCGGCTGGAAGGCAAACACCGCCGCACCAAGCTGAGTAGGCTTTATATAAAGCAATCCCAGTTAACAAAGAGGTTTATGCACGGGACAATTCATCTTGCTGTTGTAATAAGCACCCATACCTGTAGTCGCCTATTAAAAAAACGTTTCAGCGTGGAAGGTCTTGCTTTGGGCCCGTCTCTGGCGCAGTGGAAGTCTCTCTGCTGTTTGTTTAGGCGCAGGAGGGTAAAGCGACTACCCGGCCTCCGTTGTTGCCTTGGCCCATCGTAGGCCTTTCCCATCTTCTGTCATAGCTGCTGGCGGTGTGGACTTTGCTTCTGGCAGAGATTTTCCTGCTCCTGCTGTGCAAAGTTGCCTTGTGGAGACAGCTGCCAGTGCTGCGTCACTCCGGCTGCATCACTGACCTACAAAGAGTTTCTGAAAAGGAGGGGTGGTGAGGCGAATGTGTGGAGCAGAAAAAAGAAAAGGAAAAGGGATAAACAGAAAACAACAAGCCTAGCTCCAACAAACAAATGGATGGGGCTTCCGCTCTCCCTTAGTCTGAGGCCCAGTTGCTGCTCTGGTATTCAGGAAGTAAGTCTGGGAAACAGATCCTTTATTGTTATGTAATGAACTTTTTTTTTTCTCTCAGAACATTCTCAGCTGAGAAGTCTGTGCGAGAGGCTAATAATAGGCCATAATACCTCAGTGAGGCCTGAGTGTGGCCATGTCAAATCATAGAGGGAGAGCTAGTGCTTAATGTAGCATTTTAAAAAAATCTAAATTGTCTGTTTCCTTCTTAATAAGAGATAATTTTTGTCTTATTGCCTTTCTTTTAAAACAAAACAAAAAATAAACAAGTCAAATTACAACTTTTTAAATATTCTGTGACACAATACGGCTACTTTAAAACTGGAAAACGTTCATACCTTCATCTAATGTTACAGTAGCTTTCTTGGGGCAGAAGCAGATGCTCATGAAAGGAGATTTGTCCAAAATTTCAAGGCAGGATCACTTAGGCCTGGAAATGGTAACCAGAACTACAGCACTTGTTTTGCACACGCTACCCTAAGGGTTTGTTTTTCTTGATTCTCCTCCTCTTCCCTTCATCATCATCATCCTGCTTTCACTGCTGTGCTGCTCCCTCTGCTGGCTCATTGAAAGAACACATCACAGTGGTAATACACTGAAGTGGAATGAGGGAAGAAAGACGCCATCTAATCGTGAGGACCACCACCAGAGGGCACTACAATAATTTGCTCAAATGTAAACAGGAAGTATGTAACCGTTGTCTGATCTGATGTCAGCAGGATTCAAGCATTTAAGGTCTTTTGATTATATTTTTGCCACCTTGTGTTTTGATCTAATTTAAAATATATGTTATATAATTTTTTATGTAGCATAATTTGAGTTGCCTGTAATTTTGCATTATGTTAAAACAATTTTTTTAAATGCAACTGTTGGCAATATGAAAGTACAAACTTGTTTTAAGAATGCTTTGGAATGTTTTTTTTTTTTTACTTTGTTCACTAAAAAATGACAAGAAAAAACAGTTGTGTTGCTGTTCATTTTTACTGCTCTTCTGTGCCTTTGCTGGTGGTGTCATTGCCGTTGTGGTCATTATGGTTGGTACCATCATTGTGAAAGAAGGTAAAATAGGTAATCTTCCATCCCATGGCTTTTGCTAAGTCCTCCATGTCAGTGTGGTAATCAGGACAGTCGTTCTTCACAGTCAGTTCCCAAAACTTTTCAGAGTTGCAGAGCTATGGTCCAGTTAGACCCCACGACAGGAAGATGAGGATTGTTAAAAATTTTTTAGAAGGTGTGACAGTTAATGTACAATCACGCAAATGATTAAAAATGAAGCAAATACAGCAACCTCATTATTCTACATTTGATGTTTTGTAAGGGTCTTACCATATTGAATCTTTTGGAAAGCTGTGCCAACACAAATCTATCTTTCAGCTGCAGGAAGGACATGATTTTGAGTAGTAAGTCATCCTGTATGCGATCAAGATAGTCGTAGTGTCCCTGACACAGTGACAGCGAGTAGTCCAGGATCTTCTCACCAAAAACATTGCTAACGTCATCTATGGAGGACATGGATCGTGGCAATGGTAATTTCTTGAAAACTCACATAAAAAGTGTTATTGATAACTTAACAAACAACTGTGCTAAATTATACCCCACTTTGTTAATGACAGTCTTTTGTTAATGGTACAGCTTTGCTTGGTAAATCTTCTAAACATGTGAAACATCCCACTATTTGAAAGGTATAATACATGTTTTTAAACCAAGAATGTATTTTAAAAGACAATTAGCCCAGCTTCTTTGCGTACAACGCTGATCGGCTGAAAGAAACTGTATTTCTTAAATTACAGATTTGATCTAAGACCAGGACTTTAAGAAATCATGCACACCTTTTATTGGTAGTGCTTATATTTCCCAATGATGTCTCTTTTTACTACCAGGAACCAAGAGTACTTATCAACCTTGGCTCCTCCAGGGCATCAGAGCTCAAAAATGTTGTCATCTGAACTGATGTTTGTTAGCTTCAGTGAGAAAATTGACCACTACGTATCAAAATGTACGTCCCTCCTGAGTACACAAAAAGTTATACTTCAACAAAATCAACTGGTCCCCGATGACCACCTCCACTGTCCATAACTAAAGTGCCTATTACACTCAAAGACACTTTATAATGAAATCACACACACATTCAAATGCTGATGTTGGCAAGCTTCTGTGGCTACCTTGGCGGTAGCCACAGAAGTCTGACAGAAGTGAGCCTGCTATACTGGCACCATCTACCCTTCTAACTACCACCAGCAGGCAAGGTGGGTGAAGTACAAGTGTCTTGCCCAAGGAAACGATGACAGAGATGGACACAGCAACCAACAACCCACTGATTACAGGACAAATTCCTACCTTCCTCTCAACTATTGCTCCACTTATTGGCGATGATACTGTTGTGGTAAAATTGTACAATTATGATTATATCTTCATGTGATTTTCTTTTTCATTCGGTGAATAAATTTACACAAATCAAAGATGGTTGTTTTTCTGATTTTTGCCAGGGGTGTCAATACACATAGGAATGGCACAGTATATGCTTTAAAACTGTGGTATGCTAAGTATTTTTTTTTTTATCAGCTTAAGAAAAAAAACTATGAGATCAAAGTTGTTTGTGCTGCTTCGAATTTCATAGAGGCTTTAATTTGGGTCTTTGCTGCAGTTGAGTTTTACACATTGACACAAAATAAAACCTTCAAAATGGGGTACCAAATTTTTAAGATGCGGTTAGCAAATTAATATTAATTTTCCGTAGTAGTGTTAATAGTTTGGCTTCTCCAAAATAAATGACTAAGACATTGAAGGTGGATCCAGATTTTTAGAATACTTTTTTTTCTACTGATTTGTGGCTTCATTCCTAATGCAACATGAACGGCAGTTTTCCCTGTAAGGAAAGATATAATCCTCAGTCAACTGAATGTTTATTTTAAGGGACAATAATTATACCAGACAGAGTTCTGCATAGCAAAGGTGATTCAGTCAAGCTTAAACATTAACCATAAAGAGAGATTAAGGGCATAAATACATCTTACCCTGAAGTTGTTTGTCCAGTAGAAAATTAGAAAAAGTTGACCTCTGCTGTTTTGGAGGACGAAATTTATTTTCAAGTCGCATAGAGATGGTCCACCTATTCAATATTACCTTAAATTAAACAAATAAACAGACAGACAGACAGACAATGGGGAAATCAAAGTACGAAAATCGTTACCTCAGTAACATCTGAATTCTGAGGTTTGTTAAAACGTGCGAGAACTCACTCAAGTATGAGCATTTTTGCTCAAGATATACCCTACCTCATTTCTGGTAATCTCAAAATTGTAAAAATCTTTAGAGGGCGCTGGGCCCTGGCCAGAAATTTCAAACAGCTTCTCCCCCAGCAACGACGCCATTTTGGACGCACCACTGTAACCATGACAACAACAAGAAAACAACTCTGTCTGAATTATTTCAATAGAATAGAATGAAGTCATTGTCACATTTACACTGAAAGATTAGCAAAAATTTCAGGGCGTACATTTAAAATATAACAATAAATATAACAGTATATATATAAAAAATCAACGGCAAAGGAACACGATTAGTGGACGTACGTTTGAGCAACAGAAAAAAAATAATTATGATGACTTAAATTATTCACAGAGTTATATTTTTACACATTCAGACAGAGAGAGGGAGAAAGAGAGACGAAAGTGGGAGGAGGTGAGGGGGGTTCACGACCCAGCGGATTTATACTTAATATTTGTGACAAGCTAGTATCACCAGTGTTTAACTGATCACAGCTGAACATTTACAGATAAAACTCCCTCTTTTTCAGCAGCACTGTATTGTTATTTTAGACTTAAAATCGGTGTTTGTAGGCGAAGCGTCTCTGCCAAGTCGCAGTAAGCTGATGTCGAAAATCACGGTTATCTAGTTCCACAGCGGATGAATAACGCGGATGTATATTGCAGTTGTAGGCCGCTCAGCTGATACGAAGCTAGCAGGGGTAGAGAGAGAAAAGAGGAGCAGTGCACAGTCTGTTACAACTACAACACTGGAACAAATAGGTAACAATAATATGCGAAATATTTACATTTTCAGTGACATCTCAGTCATCAGTCTTTAGAAATGATTTATTAACGATTTTTATCAATAGAATTTTGATTCTGTGTCGTAGAGTCATCCCGAACTCCCTTCCTGCTTTCCTGTTTTTTTGTGTCTAAAATGTATCAGTGGCCATTTCTTTTTGCAACCTAGCGAGGTCGTGCTACCTTTTAGTTGTGCGACTAGTTAATTGAGTTGGAGTTTATTGTATTTAATCAGGAACTCACGTGTTTGTGAGGTGTATTTAAGCTCTTATTTGTGAACCCCATTCTGTCGAGCTGGCAAAGCGCTAGCCAGTGACAACAAGGAAAGCTCTTATTGATTAGCATGCCAAGGTTAGCTACAACGCTCTTGGATGATTTAACGTCGCTTAACGTAACCTACGTGACTGCCCTGCGGTGGCTAATTCTGTTTTGATAAGGTTAGTATTTCATAAACCGGAGAACTATCATTTTTATTAGCAACCAGGTACTTGTGAATGTATTTTTTTTTTCTATTTTGTCAGGTTACTACTGAACGGCCATTAGAAAAAGCTATATTGGATGGCTAAGCTCATATTAGCTTGCTAATAATTAACTAGCTTCGACGCTTGTCAGTTTAGCCACGGTATTAAGATTTTAGCTTTATTTGGTTCTGTTTGCCCAACTGTAACAACAAACTATGCGTTTTGTTTACACTTTGTTAGACAACTTATTTTCTGTAGGCTACCATTAGCTAAAGCCCCAGACATTGGTGCAGTGAAAGGGAGCCTTTGGCCTTTTATAGGCTAAGAAAACATCGGTTCAGTTCTCATATTTGTAAAGGTTGACTAGCTTGTACGCAACAACTAGGTTGACACCGAGGCTAAGAATTAGTCATTGTATTTGTTGTATGACAGTCGTGTATTTTGAATTTGATTCCCCTACCAATCATCATAAAATGTGGACCAACGCATTTTGGGCCATCACGTCTCTTTTCGTTTTCTTAAAACTTGTCAGCCATACTTGTGTGTCATAATAGCCCGAATACCAACCTAGCTAGCCCCACAGCTTTATTACATCAAACCGCTGTCGGTCCATCCGATGCTGCCATTTTCGGTGCCTAGCTCATCTCAAGTAGTTACATTTTTATTTTGGGAGGCTGCCTTTGTAGTTTATTTAAGACCATATCCTTTTTCGTTTACGAACCAACTTACAAACGAGATAGTAGTTTAAACCTACCTATTGGTTAAGTGTCTAAATAGGTTGACACACCGGTACTCAAACTACGCAGTTCAATGCAACCAGTGCTAAATTAGCCAGCGTAACTTTTAACTGTTTAAGCTTTCAAATGTGTTATTTTCTTGTTGAGATACCATTCGTATTGTGGTTTTCGCGTTTAGGGTGGTAACTTTTGACCGCAGAACATACAGTGTGAACTCGCTGCTGTCAAAACGTATGAGATTGGAAGGGAATGACTGGCTCAACATGCTAACGTTGCTCGGTGATGCTAAACAACTACGTCAGAAATACAGGCCTCTGGAAATCATAGGTACTAAACAGGACGCGGTTGGTGTCTTGGTTATGTTGTGAAGGCGAACCAAACGAGATGACGATTAAAATGTCAGCCACTTGCTGTGTAAATCTAATCACATTACTGGCGAGTGGCGTGCCAGTTGTCAGAGTGCTCGAATAACAAAGACAAGGATGCACTGTCAGTGTAGGCCTAACGTGGCCTTATGAGCTCCGGGAATGTGGCGTATTTTGTCATCAGAATTCATTATATCATGGATTGATCGTCAGTTAATTTGCTATTTATTGGTGGTAATTTTCTTGTATGCCAAAAGCACTTAGGTGGTAAGTTAGCATTATTTTGCAAATATCAAATCTACCTGGATATGTTCATGTTCAGCCTCATCAATTATCTCATGTGAATTAAGGTTATATGCAAATTGTTCGTGCTGCAATATGAAATTCTCTATCATTATTACTAAAACTGGTGATTTCCTACAGCAAGCTTTCCTTGTTATTTCTAATATTCAAGACAGAGAAATATGATCTATTATGGAATGTTTGTCATTTGACTTCTGTTTAAAACTTAATTTATTAAAAAAAATATCTATGATCTATGTATGTGTATTTTGACATGCACGGTCCTGGATTACTGAAGCTAAGAAAAATACCCAGCTGTTATAATAACGCTGGGTAATATTTTATCACAAGAATACCTCAAAGCCATTTTTCCCAGAGGTAGAAATGTAAAGAAAATCTGGTTTATTATACGGTGTCAACAATATGTTGATAGAAACTGTGAAAACACACAGGCTGTAATAAGAGTGTAAACATAGGGGATTCAGTGATTCCATGCAAAGTTGTAAAAATAATGCTTAGCTATTAAAAGCATGCCTTGCATTTCTATTCGAAGAGATTCATTTAATTGAATTAACTTTTGGATTAAAGGAATATAGATCATATACAATTAATGAAGTCATTTGTGGACTTGGATCAAATCTTTGATTAAACTACCTGTGGTTTTGAGATTGCATACATGCGGTTTGTTTATTAGCCAATACAGTTCCCAGGACCACTAGTTAGATTAGTGTTTCTTTAGTTTTTTTTTTTTTTTGTGATGGAGTTTCTAAATGTTGATCAAGGTGTCTTTTGTGAAATAGGACATCTGAAATCAGCACAAAGAGGGAGCTGTAGCCTAATGCTATAAACATACTGCCACTTGTTTATTTTCCATTATGATTTTTTAATATGCTCATGTCTGTTCCATTTCTTTTATTTTAGTGAATGGTAGTGTCTAGAAAGGGTATGTCCCTTCAGGAGAGAGGTGCCAATGTCCAACCGGCCTAATTCCAATCCAGGGGGGTCACTGCGCCGTTCACAGAGGAACACTGCTGCGGCCCAGCCACAAGACCACACAGCAGCTGGAAGGTGAGTCCGTCTTGCATGTTTGCTTTGTACTTTCTCAATCAATAAAATCCCTGTCTGCTTTTCTTGATTAAACCAAGCAAGACTGATGTTTATTTGTGGAGAGTTTTCACTTTTGTAAACACTGTAGGAAACTTTACTGATTGGTGAATGGCTATCTATGTGCCTTTACAAAAGGAGACGTATGTTTTTTATTTCTTTTTGTAGTCAGATAACTCTTTTTTTTCTTTTTCTTTTTACTGGTTACTCCAGAGGTGCTGGTGACGAAAAGAATTGGCATTTTTGTCTTAAGACAATTTAGGGATTCATAAATTCTTTTTATGTGGCCTTTTTCCAGAAACCCACACTGTTCCTTGCTCTTTTAATGTCCAACCTTACAGGTTGCAGTCAGAGCAGGTAAAACATAAACCAAATTCCCCACCTGAAAGTAGAAGACCTAATTCTAAGGCTCCCAAAGCCACTGCCAGCTCAGCCACTGGCCAGTCCAGAGGGCACAGCTCAAGAAGGTACCCCTATTTTCTACTTGGTGCTTAGTGTATATGTGTCTATCTAAGGTTGAACTGCATCCTTCTTTGCCACTTGTATTTTACACATTTGCACTTTTAGATTGGCATAATCTCTTTAACTTCTTTTTCTGATTTAAATAATTCTGTCAAATAATTTTCCTTTATTTTTTGCTACCTTACAGAAGCGGTCTTAACCTATCAGTGGCTTCATTAGTGCTGCAAGACGACTCGCAGGCTGCGGGAACATCCGAACAGGAACGACCAGGCCACCAGTCAAAGAGTGAGGGCACCAGAGGGCTCAAACGAAGCGACGCTCCTGACCAAATTAGCGTCCTTGGGCCCACCCCTTCCAAGAAGCCCAAATCAGTCCCACCACCCAAAAGTAATACCTCGGAGACCAAGAAAGGTCCAGCTAAGTCTAAGAAGAGACAGGCTTCTTCAGAGGCACCTGCATCGACAGGTCGAAATCAGAACAAGAAGAGTGCGGCCAGCTCGGCCTCTTCGGTCCAGAAACGGAAAAAATCAGACTCTTTCCCAGGTCTAAGTAGCACCGCTGGGTCTCTACCCAATTGTACCGAAGGCAGAACTGCAAAACCAACCAAGCTGGCGTCTAAATCGGCCGCCTCAGCCAAAGCTGGGTGTAGCAACGTGACAGACTCGTCCTCCTCTGCCTCCTCCTCTTCTTCTTCCTCTACCACAGGCACCAACAGTGCTGCTACGCAGGGCGCCCGTTTAAAACAGGGAAAAGATCAGACAAAAGCTCGTCGTTCCAGATCAGCATCTAGTCCCTCTCCGCGTCGCAGTACACGGGACAAGGAGCAGGCCAAAACTGCCAGCTCTTCAAAGTTTGACTGGGCAACACGCTTCAACCCCAAAGTAAACCTGCCAAAACCCAAACTTTCCTTACCTGGAACTTCCAAAACTGAGACCTCCAAACCTGGGCCATCTGGACTACAAGCTAAACTAGCAAGTAAGTTGTGTGAAAATTAACTTGTTTGTGTGTAGCAATAGGTGGATGTGTAATACTTTTTGATTGGCTGGTAGATGATTAGTTCATTATTATGGACCTAG